CCTCCTCCTGCCCCGCCGCCGCCTCCTGCCCCGCCGCCTCCTCCTCCTGCCCCGCCGCCTCCTCCTCCTGCCCCGCCGCCGCCGCCCCGCGGGCTCCCAGGACCGCCCGCTCCCCCTCCGTGGGAGCCGAGACACCCGTGTCGTGTCCCCCGCTCTCTGTCCCCGTAGTCGCTCCTTGTGCTGAAGTTACCTGATCATCTCCCGAACCCTCTTTGTCTCAGGCTTTTCAGTCTGGTCGGGCGCTTCTCTTCCAGCGGTTCCTAGCACGGTATTCACCTTTTGCAGCCTCAGCAGCACAGGCGAATTTAATAGAAACAATAATTTCTGCAGTGCATGTTATCATGCAGTGCATGATACCTTTTGAATTCTGTATTACCCTTTGGTGATAAAGGTCTGCCTTTAAAATTTAATTAAGGCATCAGCCATGCCGTGACTAACTCCATTTTAGTATTTCTTAAAGCATTGATCCAGTCATACTTCTAAATTACTGAATTACTTGGTAGGAAGATTGGGAAGAACTGATAGGGTCGTCTAGTTCAACACCCCAGCTCAGGCAGGACCCTGTAAAGCACGTTAGGATTCTGTCCAGGCGGCTTTTGAGTATCTCCAGTGAGGGAGACTCCACAACCTCTCTGGGCAACATGTTCCACTGCTTGCTCACCTTTGCAGTAATGAAGTGCTTCCTGATGTTCGACTGGACCTTCCTGTGTTTCAGTCTGTGCTGACTGCCTGTGTCCTATTGCTCAGCACCACTGAGCAGAACCTGGATCCAACCTCTTGATACCCTCCTTTCAGATCCTGATAAACATTGATGACATCCCCTCTCAGTTGTCTTTTTTAGAGGCTGAATAGGCCCAGGTCCCTCAGCCTTTCCCCATAAGAATGATCTAGTCCCTCAGTCATCTTTGTAGCCATTTGCTGGATCTGCTCCAGGATCTCCATGAGTCTTGCTCTGTGAAGCCTAGAACTGAACATGGCACTCCAGATGTGGCCTCATCAGAGCTGAGAAGAGGGGCAAGATTGTGGAAAATTATGGAAATTCTCTTAAATAGCAAGTATTCTTGCTATTATCATGCACATGTGACCTAGCAACATTTTTAAAGCTTTGCAAGGATCAAATGCAATGATGCTGCTGACCAGCATTGAAGTTTTCCTGTGCAATGGAGAAGCATCTGCTACACCTGTAAGAGCTTCTCCAGCCAGTGAGGGTGGCTTCAGGAGGGCACAATCTATACCCCCTTCATATTTTTTACACCAATCAAACCTTGGAATAAATTCTCAGAATATTAAGTCTCTTCTCTAAATGAAAATTTAGTGCCTTTGCATGGCACTCCAAATAACATTATAAATGATACATGTATCTTTTTCTTTTTAATTGTTGCCCATCTCTGACCATTTAATGGAGATGTGGGATTTCAGATGCCTATTTCACATACCTATTAAGAAATTCTTAATGAAGACCGGAACCTTCCATGTTATTAAGCTATTACTGAATCAGGCCAGTTCTCAAATTACTAACAGACTACAATTATATTTAAGGCACCATGTAACTGGATACATATTTTGCTGTATTAGTTTATGATTGTGCTAAAATAATTGAATTTGCATGTATCTTCTCCATTTGTTGGCTTATTAATTGTGACACAGGGAAAAATGCTTAATTTGGATGAGGGTTCCTGGGACATCCAAATGAGCAAGCTCAAAAATACCAGTGGTCACTTTGACCCTGGAAGCATCACAATTCCTATGCACATTCCTAGAACTAGAAATTTTAATTGCTCTGTCACAACAAATCCCCAAATTTTGTTAACATGAAGAGCAACTGACTAGCCTGTCTACAGTGCATGCTCAATGGCTTTTGTTGTAACCAGCTTTAACAAGCTTCTCTACTTGATACCTTTTCATCATTCATATGCTTGCATTTTGCAAAAAGAGCCATGTTAGACTGGTGTGATGTTAGCTAATAGCCATTTTATATCCTTTCTCACACAGGAAGTTGTGCCAGGGGTTCTGTTTTACTCAATCCCAGGATAACGTAGCATGAGCATGCACTGGCAGAGTTTGCATGCACTGTACAGGCAGCAGTGTGCTCTGCAGATGCTGCTGCAGGAAGAAGAAAAGGATCTGGAGAAAGCTGATTGAATTCTGCAAGAGCCTATAGGCAATGTGAAGAAGGCAATTACATTCAGACTTTCTGCTTGTGTGGCTGATCTGATTTGTGTAGCTATAATTCATGTTAGTAGTCAATTGGAGAGATGACTGGATAGAAATCAGCCAAATGACCGATTTAACAGCATCAGACTGTGTATACTTTCGTTAAGCATTTAAGATGTGCTTAATTAAGTTGTAGATCCAAAAAAAATATGTGGATCCTTTTTATGTGAGGGAGGATTTCTCTTTCACTCTGTTGTAGTCACAGGACTATTAAATGTTTTTACACTTACTATTTCTTTAATAACATGGAAGAGTTTTGTATTAGTCTTCATCATTTAGTGATATATATGCATCCTAGGAAATTTGTCCTGATGCTTATTCTTTGAAGATCTTTTGCTGGAGGTGGCATGGATGCCTTCTCCCAGTCATTTAAATTTATTTTTATTTCTAATGTTGTCAGAATTTAGAACTTGATCCCAAATCTCTGATGTAGCTATATAAAAAAATCTTGTATGGTTTCATAAGTTCCAGAGTACATTTACATAGCTGAAATAGGAGACAATGGAATGTAAATGTCTTCTGATGTTTTATTTATTATATTTAGTAATAGATGAAATTACAATATAATGGTGAAAGATGAACATTCTAGAATTAAAACCTCAAGAATACCTACCAGAAAACCCATCAAGTACTTCTCAGCCCCAAAAGAATTTTCCAGACACTGTATTTTAAAATATTTTTTTAAATGCCATTTGGTATATTTTATGGCTATTAGGAGTATTTTCAGTGTCTTTCTGAGCCTTTCTGGTTTGACTAATTGACTAATATTGAATTTATGGAATTCAGTAAAGCTTCATCTTCTATTAAATTAGCTGCCTAATTTTAGAGAGGGGTTATATGAAATATGAATGAGAGAATTTCATTTTTCTGGAGTTATTTCTGTTTGCCTTCACTGTGTCTATCTCCTTCCCATGGATACTAGGAGATGTCTGTTGTATTCGGAATATTGCCAAATTGAAAGTAGAAAAAAACATTTCCATGATAATTCCTAATGGAAACTTATCATAGTGTAAAGGTGAACTACTGTAAAAGTGCACAGGCCTTTTAAAGTCAGGAGCTTTGCCAGGAGCATCCATTGTCATGGACATCTGCTTCTTATAAAAGTGAGGGCTCAGATGCATTGAGTAATCTGAGCTTCCTGAATCTTAAGGGGAGTAAGACTGTTTTTCAAGGAGCTAAGATCTAAATTTATGGACCCCAAATTTAAGGGGTTCAAATAAAATCCTGAATATGCACTGATAATAAATACAAGGCAGAGAGTGTTAATCCAGTATGTTTGCTCTGAGGAGAGTAGCTGAAAGAAGCCATACTGCGGTGTTCTGTTGGTCACAGTTAGTCCTCATCATGAAGTAAATAATCATCAAATTACAGCTATGTTGATTGGAACATTACCAACAAATTTCAGAATTTGTTTTATGCTATGCAAAGTCAGTCATACTCGTGTGGAGTCCTTTCTGAGTAGGATTCAGTAGATACTGGCTTTCTACACCCAACTGATTTGCCAGTAATGAGAAAAAAAAAATCAATTTGATAAAGGAGTCAAACTGTCAGACATCTGGGATCAGTGAATCAAACTAAAGGTGTTAAATGTTTTTAAAATCACATTAAGTATTTGTATAAATTACCTCATCCCTTTTTTATGGTGAAATTCAGATGTTCACAAAATAAAAAATGAGCATCGTAAATAACTCTTCTTATTTTTCCAGTCTGCAATACCAACACAACCAACCAACCAAACAAAAATATACGTAAGAGGAAATGGGAGCATCTTTTTTTTTGTTGCTTGTGACACAAGTATGTTCTCAGTTTGATTCCAAAGCTGAAGGAATGGCAAAGTCATCTGAGCCTAGTTGTAGGTAAAAGAGGAATGCAGTACTTCATACCATACTACAACCTGAATGTGTCCTAGCTCACTAACTTCTGTAGAGGGAAGGCTATGAAAACATTTATTTAAGATGTAAATACACATATCTCTAAACAGAGAAGTTTTTGTTAAATTATTTAAATTTTCCTAACAAGGAAATACTATGATTTGCTTATAATGGCTAGCTGATTGACTTTCAATGAAATTAATGTAGATAAGAAATAGAAAATTAGTTGAGTTTTTTACATGGCTATTCCTTAGGTTTTGAAAACTTCTTCATTTCATGGACTTGATTTTATCAGTGTAATCATAGTTAAATCTTCCATAGTTAAATCTTTCAATAACAACTCCACAATAACAATGTGATGTGACAATAATCAGTGAATTAGCATAAGTACTCCAGAGAAGTGCTCAAAAAAGCAAAATTGTCTGAAACACGGTTTGTAAAATAACATTTTATTTAACTGTCATGTTGAGAGTATAAAAAATGTGAACATTACAGTAGTTTCAGTCCAGAGTAACAACTAGAGCTGCAGCAGTGTGATCCAAAAGTGATGGGGAGAGGCAAGGGGTTATGTCTAACACTTCGAACACATGAGGAAAAGACATGGATTTTTCTGCCT